TCATATATTTTGAACTGCGGTATTAGATACGTATGATGCACGATCCTCGCAGTAGATAGCGCTATTTAAGCAATAGCGAAAATCAGACCTGAAAAAAATCAGGCCTGTACGGGACTCGAACCACTGACCTCTGCGATACTAGTGCAGCGCTCTACCAATTGAGCTAACAAGCCAACTGGGAGCAGGCCGTTAAGTTGATTCGTAATAAACCCGTGAAAGTGATAAATCAGATACAATGAAATATATGAAGTTCATATATTTTGAACTGCGGTATTAGATACGTATGATGCACGATCCTCGCAGTAGATAGCGCTATTTAAGCAATAGCGAAAATCAGACCTGAAAAAAATCAGGCCTGTACGGGACTCGAACCACTGACCTCTGCGATACTAGTGCAGCGCTCTACCAATTGAGCTAACAAGCCAACTGGGAGCAGGCCGTTAAGTTGATTCGTAATAAACCCGTGAAAGTGATAAATCAGATACAATGAAATATATGAAGTTCATATATTTTGAACTGCGGTATTAGATACGTATGATGCACGATCCTCGCAGTAGATAGCGCTATTTAAGCAATAGCGAAAATCAGACCTGAAAAAAATCAGGCCTGTACGGGACTCGAACCACTGACCTCTGCGATACTAGTGCAGCGCTCTACCAATTGAGCTAACAAGCCAACTGGGAGCAGGCCGTTAAGTTGATTCGTAATAAGTGGTTCGAGTCCCGTACAGGCCTGATTTTTTTCAGGTCTGATTTTCGCTATTGCTTAAATAGCGCTATCTACTGCGAGGATCGTGCATCATACGTATCTAATACCGCAGTTCAAAATATATGATCTTCATTTATTCATTGTATCTCATTTATCACTTTTACGGGTTTATTACGAATCAACTTAATGGCCTGAAAAAAGGACAGTTATATCTGAGTTTATTTTCGCACCAAATGTAGAATTTTTTAGACGATATGGATGCCCCTGACACTGAGCCATTGGTTTCCGAAATGGCCACAGCGCAATCCTTTGTGTATCTGAAAAGGGATTGAATTCAAAACAAACTGAATTGCTGTGTTCCAACATAACGCACAAATAATACATATGTTCAAACAGTTTCGAAAACAGTTTTAATTCATAGAAAACACAGAAATTATTCATACAGAAATAAAGAACGTGAGATGCCAACGATAAAGAAGTTAGTTTCCAAAAAATCTCCAAAGGTGAATATACACTTAAACTAATATCAAAAAGGATTGTGAGGAAGTTTGTTTGGAATATTAATATGGTAAGAAAAGTAAATAACGAGAGGGGATTGATAGTCGTGTTCAAGTAAACTTTTCATTTGATTTTACATGAAGAAGCATATAGTCTATCGGCTACTTCGCTGACCTGTGCAGCAACATTGACATCATGGACAAGCAGAGCATCCAGATCTCCTTTACTAAGGATTAGCATATCTACATGCGTTACTGCACGAAGAGACATTTTTTGGGGACAGGCGTGAATCAAGAAAATTTCTCCAAAGAAGTCGCATTTCTCTAACGTTTCAATGACCTCTGGTGGGTCTTCCTCGGTGACAACCTCCACCTAGAGAGAATGTATTTATTAATGAGATCTTTTTCGACAGATCACTCAAAGTGCTTCACCCCTTTCATGGCTAGATCCAATTGCTTATGCTAATAGGGCACTTGAGTAATTTCCAGTCTGCTTTCGACTACCGTTTGGTCATGCGCACCATCCAAAATAATCCTGGCTGATGTTTGTAACTGCAAACTTGGCTGCTCAAATACTCTACAAGCTTAATTCTATCAACATCATCACGTCAGGGTAAAAAAAATGTTTGCTCAGCAGACCACATGAAAAAGGCAAACGGCGATTAAAAGGTCTGCAACACAGATAGTGCTTTAAGATTTTACCTTCCCTTTTTTTTCATCGATGGATGCTGCAGTACTCTTGGATGTGAAAGTGAACATAAAAACTTACCAATCCCTTTCGAATGATAAACATTTCCTGTCCAATGTCTCCCTTCCGCACGATGTATTCACTGGCGTGGAAGTGGGCAGGCTTAACTTTGGTACTCAACAAGCGAATGAAAGGTAGTTCAGTATTTTCGAAGAGAGGAACCTTTGTAAATAACAAATATAAAATCAAAATAAAGTCAGTTTCAAAGTGTCCACAACACAAATCAAACGAAACATTTTGCCATAAGAGGAAAAGAAGAACCTTCGTAAGTGATGAATATATAAGCAAAATAAAGTCAGTTCGAAAGTGTCCACAACGCAAATCAAAGAAAGTATTTAAGACATAAAATAAGCGGGAAGACTGAGGTAAAACATTTGACGTTTGATGTTGGAATAAATAACTAAAACTATTTTCAAATTTCAGTTCTTTATTCAGGTATTAAAGTTTATTCTTCGCAAAAATTGCTACGGGTGGTAACAACATTGTAAGATTTGAAAACAATCTCATAGACAACTCAATAATTTTATAATAGCAAAGAATTATTGAACCCGTTCATTGTAACATCAGGAATAACCGTGCTCATCGTATATCTATCGCCATTCAGTGGCTACCATTGCCTGTGAGGACTTTATCGTAAGTGCAGCAGGACGCGCATTTATCCGCCCGCGGGAAGATTAGAGACGGGTCGAGGAGAGGTTTGGAGCCTAGCACTAAACCTCTACAGAGTTCTGACGGGCTCCCGTTGCACAAGGCCTCATTATAAGTGCTTGCTGGGAGTCTGGCACTAAAATGACGAGTGTTAGACCTCCTGCAGGCTCTTGTAGCTAAAAGGTCTCATACTCTCCCGCGGGCGAAGAAATGTTATTGCAGAACACTAACAGTAAGAACTTGCCGGGGATCTGGCACTAATAATGACGATTGCTGGTCCTCCTGCAATATTAAGGACCTTAAGAAACCACGACGGCGACGGCAACGAGGACGTGGAAAAACAAGAGATCTAATTGGCAGAACAGTAGCTCAGCACGTGCGTTTTGAAACTTTGTACATTTTTTAGCCGTCCTATGCAAAACAACAACGTGAAATCGCCAAAATTTGCGTCGTCTGCGAACCGAAACCGCGACGGCAAATTATTTTAATTCCCATTTGGAACTCAACGGCTACTTTATACGTCATGCTGAAGTTGAGCTGTGGTGCTGTACGAGACAGTAAGCTCCTGCAGCCATTTTTGAAATTGTAACTAGGAGTAGAAATTCACTTTTCAATCGAAGTCTTCCTTGGCGTCGCCGTCGTGGTTTCTTAAGGTTCCTAATAAAGGCGACTGCTCGTACGCTATGTTTACCATAGTTAATCGTACAGAAATTCAAATCGATTCGTTCTCAGGAAACCGATTATAAACTGCTAGGTATGACAAGACTTTGACACTCTGAGACGAATGGAATATCTGTACTTACCGAATAGAGAATATCCTTAACCATTCCTAAACATAATTCACCACTCATGCAAAGAGGCATGTCATAGAACAGAGTACTGTGATCAATTCCCCTTCAAAATAAGACATAGTTAGTAACGACTACATTTATCACTGGAAGATATTTTGATCGGAGTTTTGTTTGAGAGATTTTAACCTACAATCCTGCTTACCAATTTTATTTCAATGAAAAAGCTAAGTGTTAAAGTTTGAATGAAAATGTCTCCAACAGAGCCCTGGGATCCGTGTCTCAGATCTCAGCATCACAAGCCGAAGTTGAGTGCAGGTCAAAACTCGAAACCTATTTTAAAACTCTGACGAAGTCTAAATCTTCAGTGAGAACACAACTAACAAATAGAACCATTTTAAACCGAGTGTCGAAAATAACTCGATTTTGCCTTGGTTTTGCTTTGCTTTGCTCTGTAACTGACCCTAAAGACTCGCGCCACTCTCCCAGCCAATCAGATGCAGAACTAAAACCAATAATGATTTGGTCACCTGCGTTTTTCCACGCTTTGGTTCTAGTTTGAGTTCTCATTGGTTCCATTGTATTCTCATTCCTTCTGATTGGTCGTTATGATAAATTTGGTTTTAGTTTCATTCGAAAAGTGCCCGACAGCCTTTCCGGACCAGTAACTACAGGGACGTCCAAGAAAGGGGCCCCTGACCTAATTGAAAATCTAGACTCACTTGTTTTTATTCCAGATAAACTCATAAAAGTTCATCACTCGATTTTGTAGAGCTTCTGGGATGTCTTGGTCTGACATGTGCGCCTAAAAAAGTAGACATAAAAGGGTGATCAGCTCGCACGACACAAATAAACAACAACAAGCACAGCAACAACAACACCAAGAAAAATCCTAGACAGTGGGAAGATTAACATCATCCTCATATCTGCCATTTTCAACTTGAAACTAACAGATGGTTACACACCTGAATGGCATCTAGCTTCTCTTCATACTTGACTCGTCTAATCTCAGCGTTTGCCAAAGTGGAAGCAATATTACCAAGGATAAAACCAAAAAGAAGCTTTCCAAAAACCATTATAAAACTTGCCAGAGCTTCATGAAAAATAGGATAATCATAATTGAAAGTTATACTTTGAGGTGTAGCTTTAAAGAGGCAATTTTCTGAAATCAACAGTTAGAAAGTTGGCCTTCAACTTCCGAAAAAAGATGGAAAGAAAAAGAAATGAAGAGGTGCATATATGCATCTTCATTCAACTCTGACAAATATTTCATTTCTTCGCTTATAGAATACGCAGTAGTACTTTTCAGCGGTGGAAACATGCGTGGTGAAATGTTTCCAATTTATAATTATAAGTGTGCTAGCAGCTTTGATTTTTTCTTCGTGAAAAATTCTTAGGAATTTCAAACCTCAAGAAATTTTCTCACCCATTTCAGAAGAGGAATTGGCGTAAATGTCTCCATAACCCGTGGATGTCATAGTGGCGACAACCCAGTATACCGCTGTACAGTAGCGAGATAGAGCAGGCGCGTGTACAAGACCTAGAAGAAACAGATATTCAAGTTAGCTCAAGCTAGGCATGAAATCTGGGCTGAACTGCCGCATCGAAATGAAAATAACGGTTTATGCTGAGAGGGTTAGAGACGAACTGGAAGTTACTTTAAAATGTAATTCTAGAGCGTTTTATGGTTGTCTGAATCAAGAGTTGATATGATATAGACTTTTGGAAGTGCATTGCAAGTTTCAATTATTGTAACAGCATTATGATAATGAAGGCGTAGAACGATTGACAAGAAAAAGGTATTCAGAGACTATAATTGGACAAGATGAAACAAACCCCATTTCTGAATTTTCCAATCTTTCCCGCTCCAGATAGCATGCTTTGATTTCGAAAATCGAGAAAAGAACTTTCAGCCTGTTTACATACTTAGCAACATCTACATTGTAGGATACTGTGACAACAAAGGAGTCATAAACACCTCTTAGAGCAGGTAACAACATCAACAACAACAACAACAACAACAGCAACAACAAAACACGAAAAGCTACGGGAATGTATTTCTTCCTGATTCAGTATGAAAATTGCATTCATCCACGAAAATGCGTTTCATCCATTTAAAATTCGGCCTATATATTATTACCTTGATTGAACAAGCATCCTCAATAGTAAAAACTTGGAAAATGTCCTATCTTATTATAAGCTGGCTGAGCGCTCGGGGGCAAGATAAAGCGAATCCTGTGTTCTGATTGGCTACCCGAGCGGACAAGATGGTCCCGCTTTAAACCAGCACAAGAGAAAAAGTGCGTGGAGCGGACTGACAAAGTTCGTAACTTCTGGAAAATGTCGGCGACGAAGTCGCTGTAAAAGTGGTAGAAGACAGTCTAACGAGCTTCTTAGGAACATTGTGATCGACTACTTCTCGGCCCATAAAAACGCAGAAAAAGAATTGGGCCAATATCCAGCTATATTGACCGACGAAGCCTGGTCAATAACGCATACAATTTGATTGAAAAAAAGCTCCGTCAATAACGCACGTTTATGATAAACTTATCGATTGAGCTTTGTTCATTCGAACGGACCTCCAAGAGTGATCCAGTTATCCTCAGCCATGCATTCATTGAGCGGACAGCCCAGGTAGTACCAAGCACATGCAAATACATGAATAACTATGACCAGCTGGAAGAAGAACTTAGTCATGCGCACTTTGAAAACACTGAAAACGAACAAAAATTAACAGTTTGTACCAGATAGAATTTAGTATGCTATCCCTTTTTTTTTTGTATTAAAAGAAATGTGTTGTAAATTTGGGCATGAAACTATTGCAAAATCATTTCTACGCAATTGGTTAATGTAAACCACGCCAGAAAACGATAGGAAAATATCACTAAGAAGGGATACTTCTTTTATGAAGAAGGAAAAAAAATTGATTGTAACATCACCTTTATCAAAATGGCAGTTCCAAAAGTTACAGGAAAGAGGACAAGTGCAATTCATTCTTATTGAGATTAGAACACCAAACAAGTCTCAATGATATCTTTTTTTTTACGAAGGCAGCTTAAGTAAACTCATGAACACAGAAAGCAGTCTTTTGCCCAGACCTTCCACGACCAAGCCGTAAGAAGGTTCGTACGAGATAAAACAAATACCTGCTGCTTGACTACAAATTCGTGATAAGTTATTTCGTAAATGTTGAGATTTGGGGGAAAAATACTAACTGAGTATTCCTGAATGTGGTTTACCAAGAAAAAAGCTGCCTCCAATGGAAAAGGGAAAACTAATATTGGCATAAAACATTGTTACTCGTCAATAACACATAACACTTACTCGATATTCAACCTCTTCGCTAACTCAGAGAAAAATTGTTGCATTCGAACCACGCGAAGCAAGTGAAGAAGCCTCAGATACGACAACACAAACAGCTGTTCGTCCGCGGGCGCAGCCAAAGCGAAAAGATCGATTGGAAATGAAGCCAGAAAGTCCAGTGGTAGCTTTCCCTTTGCGTAGTTGATAAGCAGTCTTCTTCCATCAGAAATCACTTCACCAATGTTATTGGTGTATGCCATGTGGAAACTAAGATATACCTATTGGAAAAAGAAAGAGACCTCAAGTATACCGTGTGCAAATTAAGATATATCGGAAGGATAAATATAGGAAAAAGAAAGAGACCTCAAGTATTAATCTGAATAAGCGATGACTGTCGATAAACCGTATCAGAATGATACGGGATGGGGGAGGAGGGGGGGGAGAGGGCTCACAGAAAAGAAATTAGAAGAGGTTTTGTCTATTAGTAACAGTTATATTTGCGCAAAGCATCAAAGGCAACGCGATATATTGAATGCAACAGTAGGGATAAGAAATTTTTCTAATCTTAGGAAACTAGATGGATATTTTACATTTCCGAAAAAAGTGCCCTTGCTAAGTCATAAACCAAACAAAGGGGAAGGTGAGAGCTACAGCTGTCCGAACACAAAATAGATTTTCCATAATACAGTTAAATTCTTGGAACAACTTGTATAATTAGGGTCTAAAAGCTATCTTATTTTCACATCGGCATTTGCCGGATTTTCATAACGCAATGCAAAGATCTAAAATTATAGTTCCTTTACTCACCTCGACGTAAAATGAGAACTCGCATAAGTAGTTAAATGCAATCAGATACCAGGGATGATCTTGGAAGGCAGCCTGTCAAAGGAAACAACGTTGCAAATGTAGAAATACTATAATGTTTTCAATGTTGTTATGGATAATAACTATATATATATATATATACAAATAATTTTCTAGAAATTTTTTGAATGCCTAGTCATGCTGACATGTATACACGAACTTTCTACTGTCATACCATAGAACGTTCTAATATAGGTTACGTAGTTATGATATAATACTATCAAAATAGTTTTGTATTAAGCATCCAAAATGCTTTAGAATGCTCTGTAAATGTATGTAAGGACTCAGTCGTGTGGTAGTAGTAGTTATCAGTGGCGGTTCCAGTGGCGGAGCTCGAGGGCCCCCACCCCTTATTTCGGGTAAAAAATTAACACATTGAGAAGAAAAGCCGGTAGGTGTACACACACACACACACACACACACACACACACACACACACACACACACACAAAAAAAAAAACCGCTCACCCTCTCCCACTCCTGCTAAAGGCCTGGATCTGCCACTGGTTATTGTCGTCGGGAGTGACTGGTGACTGATTAACTGAAAAGCTATACTGAGAGAGAGCTACTGTGGCAGATTGTCCATTTCGAGGGTGAGAAAAGTTATCTTTTGTAATGGGCTTAAGTGAGTTTATCACTGATAATTCCTGGAGGAGTTGCTGCTCAAAAGGAACTTTACTCGTTGTTTAATTCAAGCGTTAGACTTTTGTCATAGCGAAGCCTTTTGCAATTGGGTTTGTAGGAGTATAGAGTTCTTCTACGCAGTGTCAATTTGTCGAACAAGAGACCATGGCCTCATTCATTCTCGTCTATCGAGTTGAAGGGATCTTTATCCTAAATTTTTTAGGCTTTATAAAAAAATTTTCTTCTTGGAACCCTGATTTTCTCCTGTACATTATAGGCCCAGAGTGACCTGCCAAGAAATCGTTGGATTACGATTTTATCAAATTTTCCTATGATATAAAAATTTTACCATGAGGGTAAAGAAAAAGGCTGAATGATAAATTGGTGAGTTAAAAAGTGCAAAAATGGAAAGAATCGGCTAAAAGATAAAGTGATTGGTCCAAAATTTACAACCTCTAGAAATATCATAGAAACCATGCATCATGTATCATCTCAGTAAGATGAGCAAGGCTTAACTCCTCACCATATAGGTAATGGAAAGTGTGGTAAGAAACACAAATACGCAGTTCACATATTTGATGAGCCTCCACTTGCTGTCGGGTAAGATCACAAAGTGGACAAACATGTCTGCCAAACGGGCTTTAAAGTTCCTTAAACTGGCAAGAATCCGCTGTCTAGTGGTTGGTGTAGGCTCTGCGGGTTCCTCGATCTCAAGCGTCAGGGCGGCCTGGTCATTGTTACCCTCTTCTTTTTCCTTTGAAAAAGAGAGAGTGGTTGAATTGAAACAGATTATAGTTTTCAGCCTCAAAGTGAAGTTCACAAAAGCCTTACAAACAGGTTCGTTATTAGTTTTGAAAATTAATAATCTAATAGCGGTGCATGGAAGGTAACCCCTGCGCGAGGCAGCCCCGGCTTTGTAACAAAGACACCCTCCTATAGCAAGAATATATACCCAACCTCGTTCCGATGGCTTTTCCCTTACCTGGGGGTGGGCCATGGGAACGAGGTTGAGTAATTACCCAGTTCCCTGTTTAATTTCTTTCTGACAGTTTACGGACAAAAATTTACAAAAACATAAGTAACCGACTCCGGACAAAACCATGCGATACCTTGAGTTTGTTTTCCTCTTCTCTTTTCTTGTCTTCCTCCTTCTTCTTGGCAAAAGCCTTTGCACGCTCAGCCACCATTCTCTGCCTTTCCTCCGCTGTTTCCAGGATTTTCTTACGGATCTGTGTATAGTGACTGAGTACTTCATCCAGGTCTTTTTTTTTTAACACAAACACGTCGGAATTTGTTTGCGCCCTAAGAGGGAATCGTAAGAGGGCCATGTTTATGATCTCTAGAAGTAGCCATGATCCGATGAGTGAGTATACCTTGAATAGAGTATCAGTGATGGGGTAAAATGACGGAAGCATGGCCACATTAGAAATTTATAGTCGTCATCTTCACCGAAAGAGTCATCGTCATCGTCATTGTCGTCCTCACTTTCGTCATCGTCGTCGTCATCGTCGTCGTCATCGTCATCATCATCGTCATCGTCATCGTCCTCATCATTATAGTTTTTTTTAATTTGTACACAATTCAATTATGGTATTTATATTAATTAGGGTCAATTGACTGTTTTGGCTTTTTATATTCATCATGAATGCCTTGTTTTCAAAATTTTTCCGAGTTCTACTGATAAAGGACTGCCAGGTGGTGCGTCCTCGCTTAAAGGGGGCACGTGCATACCAACCTCGAAGAAGGAGTTACAGTCTGATCAAAGCTTTGGTAGAAAATTGTTAGGATAGTCATGAGTTCACCAAAACAAATAATCTAAATCAAACGTGACTGTACTAGCTTCTTCAAACCTGATAGAAGCTGTTCTGGGGCAACTAAATACAACGCTGATCTCTCCAAAAAATCTTCCTTCTCCCATGGTGTCAAATACAATCGGTTCCTCGTGTTCAGATACCACTTCTACTGTGCCTCGGTGGATTAAATACATCTGAACGGGAATGAACATAAGGTCATATAAAGTTTGATTAGAACTGAGTGGCTTATATATTCAAGGGCTACAGCTTAAGAAATAAATAGATGAAGAAATACATAGCTAAACAAGCAAATTATTAAATGAATAGATGAATCACCGCGCGAATGATAATTGTTAATTCGTGTGATATATTGTATCGTAGCAAAGGTTTGGCCTTTATTCATTGTTTTACGATCACATTTGAATTTAGAAATTGGTTGTTAGGTAGGCAGAGTGGAACAATCGAAGGACGGGAACTGATCCTTCGGAGTAAGGATGAAAACAAAAAAGAATCCAGGTCTAGGAATAGAAGCGAGATGCTTAACTATGCTAAAAACTAGACAGGGAGAGTTAACCCAAGCTTACACTCAGTTCGCTCACATTTTGTAAGCTTTATACCTGAGCATAAGTCGAAATGATAACCCGGATACACTGGTTACAAAGACAATGTATTTAAACCTGTCTTTATTCAATTTTAACCTCACCAAGGAAGTCAATAAAACCTTACCTCTTGCCCTATATCGCCCTTCCGTACTATATACTCTTTGGCAAGAAAGTAAACTGGCTTCACTTTCGTGGATAGCATCTTCAAGAAACCGATCTCTGTTCCCTCGAATAACGGTACCTGATTGGAAGAAAACAATTTCTTGTGACACTTGCTCCTAAAGGTTAACAAGTAATATAATTTATAGAGGAAACGCTTTTGGGCTGAAGCTAGTGTAAAGCTAGCTGTTTTTACATGCGACCAATGTGTCTTAAATAAGTTACATTAATTTTTACTTTTAATCGTAACAGGAAAAACAGGCTGAGTTTAGGAAGAAGAGTAGTTTAAGATTTGAATTTACCCTTTCAATCATGTCTTTGTACAGGCTCACGGAGATGTCGGCTTGCAGAGACAGTGGCAGACCCTCAAACAAAGAACTAGCGTCGACTCCTTTGTTTCTCAGCCAGAGATATTCGTAATAGCTGAAAACCAGAAGCAACTCTAGTTGTTAGCATTATAGGTAGCTATGTACTTTCGTTTATTTTGATTCCGAATTCAACCGTGGATAACCGTGCCTCCTGTGTTCTATTTCACATTTGCTTAATTTTCTAGTGTGTGCTTACGCCTTAATTCGGTTGGCTTAAAAGTATCGTCATGTTATAAGGGCAGTACGAGTTTTCTATAATCATACCTTATAATTCGTGTTGTTAGTTTTTCAGATATCTCTTGTTCCTAAAACGGAAATTGAATGGAACTAAGAGAAGGAAAAATAAGTTGAGAGACAAATAAAATCTCGTAGAAGTTCTTCGTACTAAAATGTTACCTCCAGAAACGTTTTGATGGCATCAAGTCTTTCTTGGTATCGAGCCCGCTGTGCGTCAGCGTTAGCCAGGCCAGCGGCAACACTGGCGATGATGTAACCATAGAACACAATCCCAATGATCATGCAAATCAGAGCAAAGGTCATCTGTCAATCAATGAAGCGATCAATTCATCAGTCAGTCGATCCATTGCTCTTCGAAATTTTTTTTTATTCCTTAACTCATTTATTTACATGATTTTAACACATGAATCTTTATTAACATTAGCAACATTGTTAATGAACGAATCAACTGCTTCTACTGCTTAGAACTCGAGAAAAATCGTCTGAAAGCATCTTCAATCATCCAATCGATAATTAATCAATACATTGGCAAAGAGAAAGAAAGTAAGGTGAAGCAATACCGAACACAACGGTCAAACACTGTGCACGCGCAAGGATCAATTTTGGCCGGTCGTGTGCCAATTTCCCGCGCAAAATTCAAAGGAAAGCCAAGAAGACAACTGATGTCGTGCAAATTATGCGAACGAAATTGAAACTTTCATATTGCATAGAAATCTGTAGAAGAAAACAAAAGGAAGGAAAAGAGAAACTCAGAACTTTTCGAACAGTATCCAGTTGATAAATCACTTGTTTTCGATCTTTATTTAATAAAAATGTTGTACGGTTTTTCGAACATGACTTCCGGCTATAGTGTGGTTGTTTACAACCCTTGTTAGACAACTTGGTTCTGACCGGATAAAAGCACTCCGCCTAATCACTACAACTTTTGCACATCTGCAGACGTTTCATCACCATATTGCACAACCACACCACAGGTAAATTGTCAACAATGACGTCATTCTTACCTCTATCGTGTTATGTGCGTGGATGTCGCCGTAACCAACCGAGGCCGAGGTAGCCGCTGCCCAGTAAAGACTGGTTAAATACTGTTCTCCAAAGCTTTTGATTGCTGTGAACAAAAAACAAAAACAGCGCCCTCCCTGTTGACTTCTCATTACATAATTATATGTTTACAGCTACTTTGATATAACATTTTAACTTTATTTTATTTTATTTTAATTTTATTTATTATTCTTTATAATATATTTTCTTACATTTTTAAGTTGAGTTTAGGAGCGTGCTGTTGTCTCAGAAGTCGCTTCCTCAATTTTAACACTACCTTTTTATGTTAATTTTACATACACATTCCCACCCTTGCATACAGGTTTTTCTTATTTTACCCACTGATCACGAGATTGCTCACTAGTGGAGTGGGAACCCACTTTCCTACATCAAAACCAAAGGAAGCCACAAAGGTTGCTAGTGAAACTACCGATTGATATACTTAATAAAAAAATAAAAAAAAACAGCGCCGTTCCTGTTGACTTCTTATTACATTTCCATTTCATCCCAAATTGTTCTTAGTCAAGTATAAGCACCTCGAATGGTATTTTTTCATGGAGAGGATTTAATGCCTGATAGAAACACAGACAGACAGAAAAACAAACAAACAGAAAGGACAACAGGAAGACCGGCCGACAGAGACCAGAAGAGGAGCATTCAAATGGATGGCTGGACGTACAGATAGGTAGCCGGTAAAAACAAAAAACAAAAAAATGATGAACAGGGAGAATAAAATAGCTATAGATAAACGTCAGAACAGAAAGAAAGACAAGCGACAGTCACATCTTAAAATCTGAGACAAAGCCTCTTACCTAATGCTCGACTCTTTTGCTCTACCCAAGAATCCGCCGCGCAGAAATGATCTCCGTTTTCAAGTCCTTTACAAGCTAGCAGAAACCAACCACAAGCTATACAGTGAGTGAATGTTGTCATATACAGAGCCACCTTAAGCTGCCTGTCCGGATTCAAATAAAGAGAACTGTTAGCATGTGGTGGAGTTAGCGGTCGAGCCAATGGGCGCACCATGTCGGTTTTCGAGGTATGAAGCGCCAAGAGTATTACTTCTTCACCAGAATGGATTTTAAACCATCGCAACTAACCCGTTCCCCCCTTCCTCCAGTACATTGTCAGATGGAATTTCCCAACAGTGCACCGTTAATAACTTACACAACTGGTTAGAGAAAGCCACCGTGAGAGCAACGTGTCTTGCTCGAGAAAAAGCGTCGTCCATAAAGAATGAATGACTTGATTTACTTTTCATTTTTTTTTTCCTTGTGGTTTGTATAAGAACTGGACTCACATGTAAATAGCTGTTACCATAAAAAAAAAACTCTGACTCTCCTCTTACCCCAATAGGTTCGTATTCTTCCCGATAGAATTTGTCATGAAGTGGAAAAACTGTTGCTGTAAGAAAATATCAAAATTAAAGGTAATTGCAAGTTTCGGTTTTCTAGAAATATAAGAAGAAAAAGTTTTGAAGACAAAAGTTTCAAAGTTCGCCATACAACTGCTCCATTGTCTTTATTTTTCGTGCAATTTGATTTGTTATTTAAAACAAGGCTTTTGAAAAAGATGTGAAAAGATGCAATTTAGAGAGGTCGAGAATAAATCACATTGCTTAGGGCCAATCAGATTACAAGGATCATCAGTGATTTTAAAATGTATGTAATAAAGAGGAATATCGTTTTTTGTTCCTTTTTTCTGTATAGGAACCTTCGCAAAAGTTAAGACCGTGTTCTGCTCAGTGGAATAGAGGAAAAAATATTTACTTTTCTTCACATATGCCCTTTTACTTTTTTGACACCCTATCAATGTTAACCTACCACTTTGTACATGTAGAGACATCTGTTTAGACGAGACAAGGCTAATATACGAAAAACGCCTATAGGGAAGTAAGCACAGAATTAAGCCCAAACGAAAACAAAAACAAAAAATAATCAACGGTCATTAAAATGCCAGCATTTTACATTGTGGACAGAGCTGCAACTTGTTGGCATTTTTAAATGCTTAATTAATTACTGTTTCAAGCAATTTCATTCAACAAAAGTTGTTGATAAGGAGTTTGCGGAAATTTTAATTTTTTTCTTGAATTCGGCCAAGGCATCTATAGCTTTACATTTAAAGGGAAAAAAGCCAGTTGCAGTGAAATATTTGAAAGCCGTGGAACGATATTTTCTAATTTGACAGTCAGCTAAAGGCAGGCCACGTACATAAAGGGTCTACGATCTCTACTAAGTATCAGTAATTGTCCAAAAGGGCGAAAAGAAACTGTTTGTTCAGCTTACTAAGAATGACAACTTACCGAGACTTTCTGGCCAGATAGCCAACACGATAAAGTCAGTAGGAAATGAGCAGAGTAGATCCAGCAGAAAATTCCTCCTTGAAACATAAAAATATTTGATTTATGTATTGCATAATAATTAATTCGCGTGTGATGTGGAGATTTCTACGCGAATCTCTGCCGTGGTTAGACCGAAAACAAAAAAAAAATTAACTTGTTGCACGTAAAAAAAATGAGAATCCCACACAATTCATTTTTAAGAACAACAAGAGGCAAAACAACTCTTACCTGAGGTAATTACGAGCAGTATAAAGCGGATGTGTGACAAGCACGTTGTTTTCGTTGTAAAACGCTAAGTGAAATTTAATGTACCTAAAAAGAAACAGCGAGGAAAAGAATAGTTTTAGGCTTCCAACCACAACTTGACTTACTTTTGAAAAAAAAAGAAACAATCGTATGAAGCTTGTTGGAGTCGCTAAAAGCAGAGAAAAAATAATGAAAATATCTTTAAGTAACAGAGAAAGCAAGTGGCAGAAGAAAACAAGACAATGAGAGGTAAGAATACGAAACAACATCATCTCCGTTAACAGGCAGAAACCGAGGACTAACGAATTGTCAGTCGATCAGAAATTATCATCCTTATACCCCTTTGAGTTTGTGATATTTCTCTACCCTTCTTTCCCTTTCGTTGTTGTCGTTTACCAGTCTGAAACTGATACCTTTCAGAACAACTTTGAAAGGGGAAGGGCAGGCAAAAAGTAGCCTGTGAGTGTGAGTAAAGGGGCTCTTCAAATTCTTGTCATCACCGGATTCGCGATGGACCTGACTAAAAATAATGGGAGCTTACGAAGACGCTTTGCATAGCTTTACCAACAATCGTAGTAACTCGCCGGACATACGGTACTTACATGTCTACCAAGCACAGGAAGTCAAAGCAGTAATTAATGATCCATAAACTGGTAGCAGTATGCAAGAAAGCCGCCTGTAATGTCAGTGTGAAGGTAAAAATTCCTGCAATCACAAGAGACAATCCCTGCCAAATGACAAAGTAATAGCTGTCCGGCGAGATGGAACGTCTGTTAAAAAAGAGTTGAAGAAACATGGACTTTAAGTGCAATAAATAAATTTTCGGTCGCTCGGCAAGAAGCTAATCCGCTTATGATTCGAAACAACTTTCACTCACCATTTAAGGGCTAGCAAAAATATTACTAGTTATAACTAAGATGATAATAGTAATTGAAAAAATAATAGAGGATGGTATTTGCTAAAATGAAATCTACGACGAAGAGAAGACAAACAAGAAAGCAACATTTACAAGAAGAAACAAAATACAAAGACTTTATTTCGAGATTTTGCGGAGGAGCATTAGGGAAATGGAGGGAGGGGTCGGGGAGGGTTTTAGGAACGATTAGGATTTGCACCCACATTTCAAAATTTAACCGTCATGTGAATCCTGCTATCTGGAAAGTTCCTACCTCATTAGCAGCCAAGAAAACAGCCAAAGGATAGCATGAAGATCATTATATGGTTTGTTGATATCCTCTTCAATTTCCTTCGTCATAGACATAAGACCTGTCTGCATAGTGCTGGAGAGAAATAGAAACCATAATGACATTTTCTGAGTGATACTGTGATTTTTCTACACATTAATCATTTTTCGACTAGCTAATAACATTTGATAGCAAGAGTCTCTGCTAACTTTTAATTGTTAATCTCAAGCAATAGTTGCCGAGTTTAAACTTTGACTAAAAAGAAAATCTCGATCAAACATCACCGAGATCTTGGACCTATGCGGTACTAAGGCCACTAAAATTGAGCATTATGCCACACCTATGACAGGGGAAATTTTAATAGAAGTATTGTTCACTAAATGAATCTTTTCGTCTCTCATCTTTTAGCTACTTTATTAAATCGCTTTTCAAAACCTTCAAACTTGAGAATGCTTTTGCGGGGTCTGACTTTTCGCAATCCAGCAAAATATAATTACAAAATAATTTGAATTTATCAACAAAGTTGAAATGGTAAATTGGCCACCGTTACGATTATAAAAGCTGACATTTCGAGCGTTAGCCCTTAAACGCACACACAACCCACAATTCTAAACTTCGCTCCGACGAAGGGCTAACGCTCGAAACGTCAGCTTTCATAATCGTAACCGTGGCCAATTTACCATTTCAACTTTCTTGATATATTCAAATTATTTCGTTACGCCCACCGACGCAGCCGCAAACAGTTTCTTTAGAAACTATCAGCCTTTATTCATAAATAAAATTACAGTCGAACCTCGATTACCCGGACATCGATTATTCGGACTTTTCGATTAATCTGGACTTTTCGATTATCTGGACTTTTCGATTATCCGGACTTTTCGATTACCTGGACTTTTTCTCTGGTCCCGTTTTCTTTTCATGAATTTTAACGAGCTATGATCTTCAAAGGTTAAGAGGTAAACAATTCAGAGATTATGTTTAAAGTCAGGAAAACTACGTTTAAAACAGTCATTAAAGCGGACTTTTAGAATTAACAATGTGTTATCGTTATTTCTTTTGTTTCTACTATTGTCTCATTAATATCCATAGCTTCGATTGTCCGGACTCTCAATCATCCGGACTATTTACTTAAGTCCCAACGAGCCCGGATCATCGAGGTTCGACTGTAATGAAACTTTAGTGACGACGGAACAAATTGATTTAGTATAGCCATTCACTTGAATGGTCGAGGTGGAATAAACGGCCGAAATTGACTTATGAAATTCAAACCCGTTTAACAATTCCTTTCAAACGAACGTAAACAATATCCACTTCATTTCCGGAAAGTAGTTAGAAATTTATGCACCCTACTTCTAGCGTCATAACGATTGTTTTACAACTGAACGATCTTGGTTTTTCTGGTGTTTAAACTTTAAAATTCATATACCTCACTTCCGGTGACACACGCCCTCCTTTCTTTTTTTTGTACTTCCGAGAGCTTGCAGACATTTCTACAAACGACCTTTCTTGATCAGCACATTTCAAAGTCAAGCGTCTGACGGCGGCCTTGGTGGATTCAAAAGCTGCTTGACGGACGTCTCTAAGATGCTCTTTGTTCTCTCCAGCATCATAGATTTGTCTACAAAACAAATACAAGCCCATTTGCCGTAGTCGTGTTAGAGGTAGCATCATCGTAACTCTTACACTCGCGAAAGGCCAAGACAAAGTGCCCTATTTGATTTTTCGATGGAGATTCATTGAGGCTGAGGAGCTCTCCAGACCGGATCAAAATTTTCCGATATAAAACGATTTTTCCAAGGTACCATTATCAACCCCGTAAGTTGACCTTCTCCATCTCGGCTCAACTATAGGTAAAAAAATACATTTCAAAAAAAGCCAAACCTTGCCACAGTAGGAAAGCCAACTAACACATCATCAAGATCTGGTTTGGTCAGCATCAAAATTTCACAAAACGTTTTTGCCTTTACAGTGGCCAAGCGATTCTCGCCGAAGATAAGGCCAATCTATTAGCAAGAACAAAAAAAATATCAGGGTCTACGTGGTAAAGTAGCTCAGTTCTCCTCGCACAAAGGAAAAACCTGGGACTCTAGGGTAATATAGGCTTTTAGCCACTCAGTGTTCAGTCTTCCCGCTTTGTAAGTTTCGGATAGTTGACGTAAATTGCTGTAACTCGTTGTGTGGCAGAAAAATAACAATAATAATGTTTTTTTAAACATGATAGTCCTTTATTTACCCTAATCACAAAAAATTTGCAAAAATCATGTTGAAAGGCTTAAAATGTTTGACAAAAATCTAAGAAAAGCTTTTGGATACACGCTTCGTTTAGTAACGATGATAACAGGAACAATAATAATAATAATAATAATAATAATAATAATTATTTTTATTATTAACAAAGATTTAGTAATAAATAGACAGGTAAAAACGAACGATATAATATCCCGACGTTTCGGCGACTTCATTACGCCATTATCAAGGGTACGAATGAAAATAATATTAACAAATGCGAATTAAAGAGTTACAACTAATTTGCATAGGGGAGGTAGCTACACAAATACTTTAGCACCGATAGAATCCGTTTGCACGTTCAAACTCTGTGTTAATTGTTTGATGTAAAGCATCTCGTTGACAAGACAATCGAATTTGTTCATGCACTTCTTGAGCACTTTGAAACAGCTAAGAAGGTCCTCGGGGACAGCACCTGCGTGGTCGTTGTCGTAGTGCTTGCGTACTGAAGATGACGTGCTCTTATGGCTATCCACGCGGGCATATAAATGCCCACGTGTGTAACCAACATAGCTCCCTGTATCGCACAGGTTACATTTAAATTGGTACACTACGCACTGTTGATTAACCAGCTGTGGTTTGGTTTCGCATTCTTTAAGGTCTTGGCCAATTTTCCGACTGACAAATACGGGCTGGATTGTGGTTTGGAGCTTAATGCTAAGGTCTTTCAACTGTGTCTTAACTGTCTCTCAACTGTGTCTCTTTAACTCGCATTTGTTAATTTTATTTTCATTCGTACCCTTGATAATGGCGTCATGAAGTCGCCGAAATGTCGGGATATTATATCGTTCGTTTTTACCTGTCTATGTATTATTTTTATAATGATAATAATAATAGTAACGATTTTAAAAGAAACAAGCTAAAAAGAAAACAAGATCTCCTATTCCCCAATAAAAACAGAAACAAAATTAAAAAACAACGAAGTTCACAATGCTACTAATAATAATAATGATGCTGGTGATTACAATAGTAAAAAAAAAATAATCCACGTGCCAATGCGAATAATCTAACCCACTTTACCCCATTTCTCCCTTCCTACCCCGCACCCTGATAAAGAAAGAAAAACAAGGAAATTAAAAGATTCTATACCTCGCCAAAGTAGGCCCCAGGTCCTAAAGTAGAGACTACAGTGGAAAAAGTGGGGCCCTTGTCATCATCTGCGATAACCTCAACCATACCGCGCCTGACACAGTACATCTCTCTACCCATATCACCCGCGTACACAATGTAGTCGCCTGGGAAGAGATCAATATTGAGAAAATATCAAAATCGACAAGGAAGGCGCTGTGAGTAACACAAATATCTTTCAGGGCGCTGTAAAATAAGAATTTCAAAAATGCGTTGGCGTAATGCATGAATCGTACGTGCTACGGTTATCAAGGGTTCAGCGACAAAAAAAACGAGTTTCATTTAATAACTATTCGCCCAAAAGGAGGTGGCTGATAGTGGATATTTAACGAGTTGCAAGCGACGAGGTAAGTAACAGCTGAGTAATAGCTGGCGTTTATACGTCAGTGAACCAAGGAGAAACAATAGTTTTTGCATAATTATTGACTTACCAGGGGAGAATAGATATGAAATAACTTTCAGAGATAACTGTCGCAAAAATTCGGGGTCGGTTTCCATGAATATCGGAACCTGTAGTTTCATGAAACGAGTAAGAAGCTGTTAATTTCTCAGATTTTCCTAAAATCCTTTTAGATTTAAGGAAAACTACGTGTCTGCGCTCTAGTTTGCCAGATTTAGCACATAAGTGAAGCCATCAATGCTGTGGCTTTAAGAAATAAGGTGTAAATGTAAGAGGTCAGTAAAAGATATTTACCAGTCGATTAATTTTCGTGTAGAATTGACAGTGTTTATAAGAAATCATCAGACTCAAGACTTCGTCGCTCTGAAGAAGGGCTAACGCTCGAAACATCAGCTTTGAAACTATTTACAGTGCCCAAGTTACAGTGTCAACCCACTTGATAAAACCAAATCATCTTGTTATACTTTCCTACCAAGACAGCACCGGTTTCTTCAGAAACTTACCCCCTTCTTGACAATAGCTTACGTAGATTTATTGCTATATTTGTTTTTTGTTGAAACTAAATGAAAACGATAATAATAAGAAAACCTCAATTGTTTAAAATACGCGGCATTATATACAGAAAAAATTCATCTGAGAAAGCCATTGATCAATTCAGAAGAGGTGTATTTTTATTTTTTGTTCAGAATGGAATGAAAACATTTAGTAGATAAATAACTACGTAAATGAAAAATAGAAAAAGAAAATACCTTTTCCAAATAGTCCTTCGCTTCTTCATAAGTAACGTCCATTTGGAGAGACAAAGGCATATCTTCAATTAAGCGCTTTCCTCCAGGAGTTGCCTCGCCCCTTGGAAAAAAACCCCAGTTTCATTTATTGTATCATATGTAGTAACCCGTTTCTGAGTTCTCACAGGCAGATATCTGGTGATAAAATAAGGATGCAATAGCTAGGCAACATGCGAAGCTGCTTTTGAGGGCCCAAATAATGTAAAGCCAGGGTAATGAAATAAAATATTCTTCGAGGAAAAAACAACACAGAGCAAAGATGTTTCGAAACTCGATATGGGTGAGTTAAAATTATCTGCAAGAGAGGGAGGCATTTATGATGGCGGCTAAAGAAAGCGAAAAGAAGAACTGCTCGATTTATCTTAGAAAGCTGAGCCCTTTACACTAATTAACATCTTTGCATCTCGTTGCTTTGTCACTGAACCATTTCAATAGTTCCCTTTGAATGTATGCCTGAATGCTAACACATCTATATTACCTGTGTACTCTCCACAGCATCGCCAGATAAGTTTCGGTTCTCTCCATGAGTGTCCGGCTAAGATTTTGCTCTGCCATAAATTCTTGCACGGCTCTCATGCGTGCAAAGAATTCCACCCTAAGGAAATATTTCGCTTTTGACATATTTTAGTGTAATGTCCATCCTATTTTCGAGTCACAACGCCATGATCCCTTTTATTCACTGATAACCCCTAATTGTCATACAGTAAAGGCCGATGGCAAGCAAAGCCTCGTATGGCGCATTGGTAGAAGCGCTAAGTCTCCAAACACCATGTCTGGGTTTTATTCCACATGTGGCTACCAGCTCAATCGTCTTGATTTAAATGTTTCTGTATTTGGATGCCTCAGGGCGTAATTTACCTTTCAGCTGGTAAGAATTTCACTTCTGTACTCTAATATTTGTCCATCCGAGGAATTAATGAGACATTTTAGGTGATGGACCTTGTACAGTGGGTATTCTCTTTTCTTTTTTAATTTCAAAAATCAAAAAGTTATGATTTATACCATACTATATCACCTGACAGTCAGCTACGATATTAAAGAGTTTTTATGCGTAAAAGTGAGAAACATACTTTGGGGCCGCTGAATTAGCAAGAGTAGCAGCAATGCTACTAAGGCAGTATCCATAAAGCAACAGCCCAGTGAGCATGACCGTTGTAGCAATCAGCTGGCTTTCCATGTTGTGGGCGTGGATATCACCGTAACCTGTTGACGACATGGTAGCCGCTGCCCAGTAGACACTGGCGATGTAGTCATCAAGGCCGGCAATTGTATGGGTATTTCCTGTGTGTTGGGCCCAGCTCCCTACAGTACATCTACGGTGGTTGGAAGCAAGCGATAAGAATTTCAGGCTCAGAAAACAACGGCGAGCATCGATCGATCAACCATCGATCTGGTTCACAATCGTAATCATGTCTCCAACCGCTTTCAAACTAATATAACGAAAGGATATCGTCATAGAAATCGAGACTAGACGACTACCACAATACATGTAAAGGACAACTACCACGATATATATATATATAACTGCAGACAGTGCACACTGTTTCGACCTATGTGGGTCTCATCAGTGCAGTGCAGACACTGGGCCAAGCTCTGGAATAAACCATTGCCTGGGCGCTACACTTGTGGGACCAAGTGCAGA